CCACCCATATTCCGGCCAGAGGATGACGAGAGATGAGTACATGAAGATTATCGGATATGACCCTCTCAAGGGTAAAAATCCTGACAAGGATGGACCCACTGATGGCTCTTACCTCTCACCAGAGGCGTGTCTGACACTGTCGGACCTCGACCCTTCGCCGGTTCTCTGTGAATGGAACGGCCATGTCGAGGGTGATGAGCCACCAGAGGAAGACTTTGAGTCATACGCAGAGATCTTCTCACAAGAAGCATCAAACGATCTTGACGAGATGTGGTGTACAAAAGGGCCTTACAAGGTCATCACCATCGCGATCGTCCATTTCAACTCATACATGACTCATAAGGAAGAACAGAGGCGCGAACTGGTGAACGCGTTCCTCAACGAGGTTCTCCCTTTCAAACCGGATGTAATTGCGGGGGATCTCAATAATATTGCGTCGAGGCTCACCTTAAAAGGTGGAGACGTTCACCCGCGAAACGGTTTGTTTTCTCTATACCTGGAGAAGAAACTTGCAGCATTCAACAGAATAGCAGGAAGGCACTCACAAGTGCGACACCTCTGCTTGAACAACTCTGACCAGCACAGACTGGCACGTGCAGATCGTCTACCGCCGGACCCGGCGAAGAAAGTTGCTGACCTCGACTGTATCAACAGTTATATCCTTGACTGGAGTAAAACGCCGCACACGGCGTCACCTAGTCCAAGAGATGCTACACCTGCCGCCGAAAGAACATACTGGGAACGAGTCTCAGATATGTGGCAGGACATGAACAGAAACAGGGATATCGATATCCGTCTGTTTGTCTCAGTCAAGCAGTACTATTCAACTTTTTCTAACCTTGACCTGTGGTTGAGTCCCTCTGACAAAGATTGGCACAGCCCTTTGGGCTTCACGATACAACCAATCCTTACAAAAGGGAAACACAACCGGTCAGATGCCCAGGTTCAGAAGATCGCTGACAAGCGACAGGCTTACAAGCAGCGTAATGCTGAATACTGGGATTACAAAGACTCATTTATGTATTCATCTGGCAACAGCTGGTACGACAGACAGCAACCACAAGGTAGCTATCACAGATATGGAAGATTCTGGGAAAGGCCACAGCCTGAACGTCCCAGCGAGCCTGAAGGCTCTCCTCCAAGAAGGAGCCAGGCATCATCGTCCTCTTCACAACAAGATCTACCAAGATCGAGATCCAGACCTCAGAGAGCCAGTCTTGTTGACAAGCTCAACATGTCTTTAGAGGAACTGGACACACTTGAGGAAGAACAATCTCCAACAAAAAGTGATATCGAAGAGCACGAACGAGAAACATCAAACCTGATGTCGGCTCAAAGAGATGAAGAGGAACAGGAGGATGAATCTTCCAGTCGCAGAAGAAGAAGGAAGTCATCGCGACCGCCGTCTGCTCCGAGCAGCAAGGCACTCCGAACAGCTGCCACAGCAGCAGGGTTGTCGAACTGGTTCGGACACCCTAATCAAGGCGGTGCAAAGGGAGAGTCTATCAAGACTGATGAACCTTCACTTCCAAACTCACTAACCAGTGAGCAAGACTTCTCCGTCTTCAGCATCGCGTGGAATGTGTTTCTGCTGCTAATGGGCCTACACTGGATGTGGAAGCAGCTCACCAGGGCTCCCATCAGATGTATGGACCGCCAACAATCAAATGCAAAAGCAGCAGCGAAACGACCACCACCATTTCTCGAACCCGAGAATGAACCACAGACGCGTGAACCTTTAGGACCCAACAGGGTCAATTCTGGAGAAACAACGGATTTGCGACCTGTGTGGCACACTTCCCGAAGCGAAGTCTACCATCTTTCAGACAGCTGTTACCAGCTCAAGCAAGCAAAAGATGTTTCAAGGAAGGTGCTGTGTAAAACCTGCCTCCAGGCAGTACAAGTTGCGGAGATTCGCAGGAACGATCCTTTTCAAAGAGGTGATACACGATCACGTGGCACCGAAAGGGACATTGAACGGTTTCAAACCTATGACGATGCAAGTACTACTCCTCATATGAGGCAATTATTCAGTGATGCATTGCATTCACAAATGGCCGAAGAAGCCATGCAGATTACCTATACATCAATCCCTAAGGGATCCTCGGCAAGAGCCAGAGGTACATCTGCACTCGCAAGTGCCTCATCGTCGTCAGTGCCCAAGGCAATGCCACCAGTGCCTAACAAGGCAAACATGTCACCTCCACCTAAGACTCCTCCGCCAAAGGCGAAAGGAACAGTACCTTCAGATCCTCCGAGACCAAAAGGTCCTACCAGAAGAGGAGGTCAAAATCGGCGCATTCAACGAAAAGCAGCTAGAGAAGCCCATAACAGTGGACTCTGCAACCATGCAGACGCTGCACTTGGCGAAGCCAATCAAGGCCAGGCCATTAACACTATGTGCCGAAACATGGCAGTAAGACACGTCAGCTCTATCGATGCAACGGTAGAAGCAGCCGAGCAGTTTACACAACGCGTGCAACAGCACGTAGAAACATATGATGAAGAGGAACCGTGGAGCACGGAGTTTCTACCAGTCGTGGAAGTCCTATTCAGGAACTTGAGCAGCGACGAAACAACTGTCATACATGACAATCATACGGTAACTATGCCTATTGAGAAATATCTCGACCTCCTCAGAATCGCACAATCATTGCGAAACTCTATCCAGAGAGACAAGGAGGAAAGAAAGGATCATCTTGACACCATCCAAGATACTCTATCCAGAGTGGAAATCCTTCTAACAGCACTGAAGGACTCAAAAACAGTCTTCAATCAATTGGTCCATTCCTCACTAGAGATAGAGCGAAGACATAAAAACCTCAAAAATGTCCTTGAGACACTTTTTGACGACCAAAGCTCTGAGGAAGACCAGTCAGAATCTGACCATGAAGAAGTCCTAACTCCTTCTGCAGCACAGTACTGGAACAGCCTTCATGCCCACGCCTTATCTCCCTCAGGAGATGAAAGTGAAAGATCATGGGCGTCCTCAGACGGACAGCTTGAAAGAAGAAGGGCCGAACGGGCAAAGGCTAAGCAGCCACAACCGGCTAAAGCCGAGGCAACTCCAATCAGCTCACAAGCTGCACCAAAGGCCGAGCCAAAGGCGACTACATCCAACCATGGATATGACACTGCAGACGCCGCCTTCACCAGGGCTGAGAACAGATTACTCGGAATCTTTTCAAGTTCCGAAGAAGATCACTCAGACCCGGATGAACCACATCCGAACGTCTATGCTCGAGCCTATGATCCAAACCTGGATCCAAATCTGAGATAAGGAAAATCTCAGAGTTTCACAACAGTGACTCACAAGGCTCTAACAAGAGCACAGTGAAGGGCTGCATAATTCGATAGAAGAACATTACCAGACCTGATCCTGTACAGACGATCTCTCTGACCAATGTGCATGAAAGAGTTCAAAAGGAGTGATTTCAAGAGTGACTTCAACAGTGTACTTCAGTGCTATACCTAGCATAAACAATATGCTGTTTTTATCATGAGTCCAAACTCCGCAACTGTGACAGTGGGCATAATAGTATATGTGTGAATGTGCGGCCATGCTTCCGGTAAAAGAAAATTAGTGTCTGTTTGTTTGCGTAAACCTCTAAAGGGGTAGCTCTAACAGGTACCTACAGCAATGGCTGCATGCTCATACATATACATTCCGCTGCCCATTGGCTCACAGTGGTTTTACCATATTGAGACAAGACAAGCTCTCCTTGCGTAGCAAGACAAAACAACTACTGTCCGTGTGCAGGGCGCTGCCCTTTGATCCTTAGGGAATAAACTGGTCATACACCTCCTAACAAGGAGCATTTCCTTGTGGGTGTATCGGCTCACCCCCCTTAAGCCCCCTTCAAGCCCCCCTTTAACCCAGTCCATCGGGCAGCGTCGGTTTTGAAGCTGGTAGGCTTAGCAGCCGCGGGTAGATGCAGTGAAAGCGCCTAGACGACACTGATAGCCGTTAACAGTCAATGGTAGAGCTTAACAGCGTATGTTTTGGAGCTGGTCGGGTTTAGCAGCGTGGCAAGGCCGCTGGTACATAGAAGCGAATGATGTGCACTATCAGCGATCACCATATATCATATACGTTGAGAGTCGGAGGAGCATGTTGCTCCTGCATATATATATATATATGTATTTTTTATTCCCGGAACTCGATTCCGCAATCGAATCATAATCAATGCAATCGTATATCCATCGCTGTATTCCCCAATACACTTATGTGGGAAGACGAATATAAAACAGCATATGAAATTGGACGCACAACGTGAGGATTTTCGCACATGCGATCTGGGATTCGAGCATTCGTGAAACACATCCTGCATGACACAAGCAACTTATTTCCCACGGAGCTTTGCTTTATTTCAATAGACGATTCCAATCACAGTATTCCCAAGCTATATGGGAAAATCAAAGAATATGTAAACAATAAGAAAATTGCTCATGCAGAAGTCGCTCTTTTCCTTCCGGCAAAGCCGAAGGGGGAAGTCGTGACATCCCCGCACCGATCGATGGCGAACACGAGGATCGCCAACGAACACCCCGGGAGTGGAGGGAGGGACAAAAATTTCCGGCCCTTTGGCCAGGGAGTAGCTACCCACCCATCCCACCCCTGTCTCGAGGCGGCGCGGGAAATTAAAGATATTAACTCGGACGATTCAAAGCATGCTTTCATGCCATGATATGTGGTTCGAAAATAAAGCAAAGTCGTTTTGAAAACTTCGCAAGAATTTTCAAAACTCTCCTAGGAAAATAAAGCTGATAGAGGCAAGCCTCATGTGTCGCTTATTTCCCACGGAGCTTTGCTTTATTTCAATAGACGATTCCAATCACAGTATTCCCAAGCTATATGGGAAAATCAAAGAATATGTAAACAATAAGAAAATTGCTCATGCAGAAGTCGCTCTTTTCCTTCCGGCAAAGCCGAAGGGGGAAGTCGTGACATCCCCGCACCGATCGATGGCGAACACGAGGATCGCCAACGAACACCCCATTCACTTAAGAAGGAGATCAATCGTGGCATTGCCATTGATCGGACATCGAGGCGACACTCTGCACACTTGCCCCCTGACTGGAAAGATCGCCTTGGCACGTGAAGGAGGATCGGCCGGATTGCTTGCACTTGGAACGCGGCTAAACCAAGGGAGCATCGCCTCAGCGTCGCAACTTTCAAAGATCAGCAAGAGCTGCCTCCATAAAGGGTTTTTAGAAGAGCCTTTCACCAAGGAGGCCAACACTCCGGAGTGATCCACATACATGGTCACCCTTTGCATGTTCAAGTGCTTCGACCAAGCTTCTCTCGCACATACAACTGCGTACATCTCAACTGGGCCTATCAAATGCCTTTTCCCGAGAGCCTCCCAGCTCTGTACAACGCTCAAGGGGATAGCACATGCAAAGTAGGAAGTGCACCACGCTCCGCTGTCGTAATGGTACAAGACCCCTCCGACAGTAGCAGGGTAAGAACCATTCGTCGGCTCGTAAGCGCCATCCGTGAAAATCACAGAACGGCGAGACCCCACACAGGCCGGGACTATCCTAGGGGTACCCCCAAGAACCCGGGTCCTAAGATGGCGAAGGGCCTGCACAGCTGTGGCATCGAGGGCCTGAGCCTGAGAGCTCATCGTGCACGCTCTGAGGTCGGCCAGGGCCAATCTACCCAGCCTCCCGTGCAACTGACCTTCAGCAAACTGGATGCGACCGAACAAGGAAGGCAGGGTCTTCGGATCAAGACGGCCCTCGCTCAAGACGGAGTCCACCGCGGCGGCAATGGAAGCAGCGCGATCAGGCTTATTCCCAATCTTAACTACCCCGAAAGTGCCTAGGTCAACCCTAACGCACAGCAGCTCGGCTTCATGGCTGAAAGGAAGGTCCTTGTCCTCTGCCCATGAGAAGCCCAGCAGATCCAGAGCAGCTTTGATGGTCGACTGCGTGTTGTTGCAAAGTGGCAAGACCTCCAACACCGGGTAATCATCAAAGTAGTTGCAGGCCAGCACCTGCAACGTGATCAGAACCCTCTGGATCAACCTTGCAACGCGGTTGAACGAAACCACCGACGAGGTGGCTCCAAACAAAAGAGTTCGGCTCTCGAAGCCGAATGGAAGGCCCGAAACCGGGTCCTTGATGGTCACTATGCTCAGACAACGATCTCGTGGCGAGACCGCCAACTGTTTATAAGCACTTTTCAAATCCACTGTTTTCAAGCTCGGCTGAAGCGCCTCGGGCTTCAGCAGAAGGAATGCACAGGAAAGCGAAGATGTTCACCGTCCGACAAAGGAATGCTCACCTCGCCTTTCGCCATGAAGATTTTGAAAAGAGTGATCGCAAGCCACACCAGTTCATCAAGGGCTCTCAGAGCAATCCGGTCGGAGACAGCATAAGCGCGGTTGACCGAGTTCTCGGCCAAGTCATCGATCGATCGCGTCTTGGCCTTTTGCACAATGCCGAACCTCCGCACTGGAAGCCATCCTTCGGGGTGACGGGCTTGCAGCTCGTCCCACGAGTAAGGCCCCGTCAGCCACTCCTTGACTAGCATCTCTTGTTGTGTGGAATCCCACACCTCCCGAGCCAGATCGTCCACCTCTGCGCTCGCCACCTTTGCCCACAGCGCCGGCTTAAGAAACTTGGCATGCTGCACAAGCTCTGCACGCGTCATCAGAGCCGGCTTTCTGTCTACATCGAAAATGCCGGAAGGGCTCGACTCCCCGACCAAAGGAAAACCATGCTTAAGGTGATCAAACACTTCCGTGTCAGGCCAACCGAAAGTTGAAGCAATCTTTTCCAGAAGCAAAATATTCTTGCCTTTCATCACAGATGCCACACCAGGATCCATGGCAGCATGAAGCTCGGCTTCGGCACTTGACAGCTCACGCTTCCAAGAAGTCCACTGCTGGAGCAGATTCAGACGGTGTTTCATCACGCCAACCGGACCCTCTTTCAAGGTAAAAGCCAAGGCTCTCAGCATGAAATCCGGGACTGCCACGCACAAGTCGAAGGGATGATCGATATGCAACGCCTGCGCCACAAACTCATGTTCTGTGCGGTAGATGCCAAAAGTAACTGACGAAGGCACACCTGACAGGCTTCCGACCTGCTTCGCACCGACAACCCCCCGATCACACACAATGCGAAGAAGGCGGGAGCCAGGAGGGATCGACCCGATGGCACATTTAAGATTACCTTTATCATCCGAAGGGAGAGGCCACGGGAATTCACGGACCGTGGCTTGGCACTTAAATTCGGCGATCTGTGGCTGGAATTTTGACAATCGAGGCTGTCGCCCCGCGGCAGCGGCTGCAGAATGACGCGAGCATTGCAGCGGAACAGCGTGTTCAAGTAAGAGGCCGGCATGGCCTACCGACAGCTGCAAGAGGCCAGCGAAAACGTCGCAGAATTTCGGTGTGTACAAGGAATCTGGCGCAAGCGAGCTGGTATGGGCGTGCCTGCCAGCGCGGGCTGTGTTGTACACATGCGCATCTTTACCGGGCTGGGAGCCCCGTAGCAGCCGGCACAAAATTCGAGGCAGTGCACCGCATCGGGCAAGTCCAGCTGGCCCCAGAGGGCCGACGCCAGGGGATGCAAGATACTCCAATGCAAGTCAGACGCGAGCAAGAGCTTGGCGAGGCGAAGGGTTTGCACTGCGTCGAAAAAGGCCTTAAAACAATCCTTAGTCGCCGGGAAGAAGTGCACATGAAAAGGGGCATCTTGGCCAATGACAGTCTGTGCAAATGAGAAACCCGATTCAGTTTCGATGTCTACGGGGACCAGGTGGATGTGCACCCTCCCAGCAGGGCGCGAGTGTTCAAGCGCCATGATTGGAATCCATCTCGCCGCACACGAGCAGCTAGCAAACCGGAACCACACTTTATTTCAACATAGAGAGCAGAACCAGGCTTTAAAGGACTTCCAGGGCCGCCATTGGGTTCCTTAGGGCTAACGGTGGGTGCAACCGAAGCGGGCAAAGGCCTAAGCGACACCTGAGCTGCATTAGAGGGTGAGGAAGGCCGCTGACGACCACACACCTGGGCAGGCGCTAGGCGCGCGCTCTCAGGCGCGCGCGTCGGAACATCAACATTGCACCTCCGGAGAAAATCAAGATGTTCCTTGCCCAGCGATTCAACATGACGGATTGTGTATGCTATCAGCACGACCCTCCGGCCTTGCCAAGCCTCAGTGTAGTGCCAATAATGCCTTGCATTGAATCGCACGGGGCCCGCTGCAACAGCCAGGCGAGAACCCTGGGCACCGTTGAGGGACGAAACATCCCGGCCATCTTCGTGCTCCACAAAGATGGCGCCACCTGAAAATTCTGTCAGGGCAATCGCCAGGTTATGCAAATTTGCATTCCACTGATCGCGGTGGCGCTCAGTGCGAACATCCTCGAATATATTTATTGAAGAAAATTTGAACCCCGGAACGCTCTGCCTCACAAACCTTGCAAAGACGTCGAGCGCTTCTGGGCTGGTTGAAGCATTAGCCTTCAAGCCAACATTGCCCCCAAGAACATACGCTCCTGTGGCATAAGACTTTGAAGTTGGGAGAGGAGCAGCGGCACCCCTTTTCAAATCATCTGAAGGAAGACCATCGAAGACTCGAAGGACATCAGCAGCACTCACATGACCCTCGTCAAGTGAAGAACTCGCTTTGCCGCTCTGTGGCCCCGCCCCATCACGGTGCTTTGGGGACCTGCTGCGTGCGGCCTCCACCACACTCGGCGAGGGCCTAGCGATGGCACTGTACGAGCCAACGTTGTGATCGTGATGATCCTCTCGATCAACACTCGGAGTTGGGCGACAATCCACACCTTTCGTTGGACAGCCACCCGTGCATGCATCTTTCGGCCGATGAACTCCCGCTAGGAGATCATCCACCTGCGAGGCCTCCGCTGCCGGCTGACGCACACTCTCTGGAGCACCGGCCATCAGCGAGGCACCCTCGAGACCAGATAGTCACGAGCCCCCTTGCGCCCGCTTTGGGCACTGCGCTGCACCATGGTTATGAGCACCGCACTTAGGCACTGCACAGATGTGCAAGCCTTTCTCGCACTTCTGCCCCTTCGTCGAGCAGCCACCCAGGTTGAAGGCAAAGCATATTGGGTCCCCTCGATTAGTGTGGGACCTGCAACCTTCCAAGCCAGCGGGCAACCTTGTCATGAACCTCTGCTTACCTTTCTTTCCTTTGCCCCCACCTTTGGTGTAAGGAGAAGGCCTCTCCCACTTGGGAGCATCCGGCTTCTGGGGAGCGTCCTTCATGGAAGGGGCTGGAAAAGGCTGCAATAGGCATGACACCTCGTTCATGTACATCGCATCGGGCAGGAGAGAGTCCAACGGGCGACCCGATGCGACAGTCTGCACACCTGCCCTGGTCTTGTCACGTAGCTCGGCAAACAGCTGCCGGTCCGCCGACTCAAGCTGCTTCCAAGTGGGCCTGGCAAAATGCTCCGCAGGCGATTGCATGCGAGCCTTCATCAAGCGTTGAGTCCACTGATCAGCAACACTGAACTCGATCAGGTTCGCCTGATCCATGGCCAAAGCTCTCCTGGTGAGAGCCTGCTGAACAAGAATCTCCGATGAGGTATCCGCAACCAGATCAGGCTGTTTATGCTCGATCCGAAGCTTTCCCGAAGACTCCTCAACAGTGAACCTGACATCACGTTTCTTCTCGCCAGCCAATTCAGCTTCCTTGGGCACACACCGGTCCCACGGAATGTACCTCAGCTCATTTGCCTCATAGGAAGCCACAGCAAGATCAACAAAGTGCATCGGCAGGCTCCAGAGGCCCTTTAAGTGATATCCCGACAAGCTTCTTGGCCTGCCGCTCGTACCGCTCCGACCTCTCAGGCTGAGACAAAGGCCTGACGGTCGACTCTGGGTCGGCCTTCTCAATCCTCTGCTTCATTTCCGCGGTCACAATGGCAAAAGCTTCATTGTAAACCGCACGCCAATTAGCCTTGTCTGCAATTGTCAGGTCTCGCTTCAAAATGTCTTTCAACACCTGCATCAACGGCCCCTCGTCAGTCTGACCAGGTGTGAAAGAAGAAATGAATGCCAGCCTCCTCAAGTTTCCCACCTCTGGCAGGATTTTCTGAACGTCATCTTCCGCGAAACCCACGACACTCAATCGCGACTGCAGAACCGATTGACTCTCAGAGTAGTTCGCCATCGTCAGGAGCATGAACCGGGCTAGTGATACTCCTACAAATCAAGCTGAAAGTTCTCAGAACACTCCCGAATCCGCACCTCGTGGCCTGGGCTCTGACTTACCAGGTTCAAGCACAGACTTCCTAAGACTGAGCCGACTCCTCATGAACGCGATGCTTGCTTCTGACTGATGCATGTCACTCGAAAACTACAAATCGCACACACTCCTGGAAGCACTCAGCCTAAGCGCGTAACGCTCAGAAACTCAGAAGCTCCTTTTCACTGCACTCCTCAGCATCACTTCTTAGGTGGGCAACAGCTTCTACACAGCGGAAACAAAATTCGAGGGACGGAGGACAACCTTTCATACCTGGTCGAGATGTTTCTCCCACATCTGAACTTGTCGCCTTCTTCGGATGCGACAGCATGAATGAAACGGCTGTCCCTGTTGCTGAACAAAGGGACTGCTTCAAGCTCGGCACGCAAGCCTGCATCGGGCTCCCATTGCCTTCCCAACTCGTCGGTGGCCGCCTCCGCAGCTACATGATCGACATCCTCGGCATCCTCGCTGGCCTCGGAAGAAGATTCCGACAAAACCTCGTCAGGAGGAATGGGCATCCCCTCTGGATCTTCAAAGCGCTTCACGAAGTAACCGGACCTGGTGGCGTCCGGCATGAACCTTTCGCGCGACACTTCGAGCAGAACCCCTTGCAGCTGGCGCACAGGAGCAGACATGTTGTCTCTCCCATAGATGAGCTCGGTCCCATCACGGCCCCTGGCGTGGTAGCCTAGGGCCGCTCTCACCTCGCGGGGTAGTCCGAATTTGGCACTCCAACTCAAGGTCGTTGCCTTGAGACTATGCGTCCCAAGCGGTTCAACGGAAGACCTGTCACAACCCGCACGGATCAAGAGTGACTTCATCCATTTCGTGGCACTCGCCACCGCCAGCGGCGATGTTTGCCACCCTCCGCCAGAGAGCGGGCTCGGAAGCAAGGGCTTACCCGACCCCAAAGGAGGCCCATGCTCCTTATAGAACTCAAACCACTTGACACCCCAGGGCACCTCACCTATTCCTTGGATGGGAGCAAACATGTGCAAATACCTGACCTTTCTTTCCAGTGAGAACGAAGTCTTGCTTCGCTCAACAGCGGACTCCAGGTATCCGACTGTGCCGTCCGGCGTATCGCTTAAGTCGCAAGTCATTGCACCCGCAGCTTGGGCATCCGAGTACCTCGCTCGTGCATACAAGGTCCACACGAAGAAGCCAGCAGCGACCCGGTCTGAAGGCTCGAGCACGATTGAGCCGGAAGCGATGGCCTCCAACTTACGCACATGATCAACTTTGAGCGACGGCTTTTGCCGAGTCTTCCTCTTTTCAAGATACAGCTTCGACGACAGCCCACGGCCCACGGACCCTGGGGCTGAAGACTTCATCACTCACCTTCAAGCTCACAGTGAACTTTGCAAAAGCAAGGCTGCTCAAGAAACTCCTGGCGAAAGTGGGCGCCTCGTGAGATGCATAATCCTGTAGGAAAGCATAGATCCCTGCTTCAGTGACAGGGAAAGGAATGACCTGGCAACTTCGGCAGTGCTTGATGTACCTGGCAAGAGGCCCAGCACGACCCGAGATCGTGACGCTCGCCTTCTGAGAAAACACATCTTGCAAGGAAGACTTCAAGTCAGAGTCTCGCCCGTTCTCCTTATCTAGCCGAATCGACAGAGAAAGACCGAAATCGTCAGGGAACCTTTCAAGAATCCCTAGCCACTTTGCCAAAGCTGCTTCCCTCGCCTCAGAGAGTTTCTGATCCCAGCTTTGTCCCGGCACACTCGGAACCTTCACTCCTGCAAGCCTGAGTGACTCAAGCTTTCCCGAAGACGACTTCACCGGCCCTGCAGGACCGGCCGGCCCTACTGGCCCTGACACAATGCATCCCCCTTTGGCGAAAGGCGAGGGCAAGGCAGGCATGTCAAGAAATGTAGAAGCTATTTCCCAAGGCATCCTAACTGTGCTTCCAAGCCCTCGGGATGCAACACGCGTAGACGACACATGGTGACCCTCATAAGCCCCATGCACGCGAGCCTTCTTGAGGCTACTTTCAAGAGAGTCGTCCCCTGACATGCTGGCTGCAAGCTCGGCCTTGTCAAGCCAGCATGGCCGGCATGGCACACGCTACACCCCACTACAAAAATTTCCGGCCCTTTGGCCAGGGAGTAGCTACCCACCCATCCCACCCCTGTCTCGAGGCGGCGCGGGAAATTAAAGATATTAACTCGGACGATTCAAAGCATGCTTTCATGCCATGATATGTGGTTCGAAAATAAAGCAAAGTCGTTTTGAAAACTTCGCAAGAATTTTCAAAACTCTCCTAGGAAAATAAAGCTGATAGAGGCAAGCCTCATGTGTCGCATCGCATAAACCGCCCCATTGGGCAGTGACCATTGTCACGAAGCGAGGACCATATCCCCGGGTTGGGCGGGCGGGTGTCAAATTTGCCCATTCAAGGAGGCGCTCCCTCCCACCCACCCTTGATCAAGAATTGCAAGTCACAACATCGTTATGCCAAGAGCATAAGAGTCATCAAAGGAACTTGCAAAAGAATGGTTCAAAACAAGTGATTGAAAAACGGGATTGCGAAATCAAGTTTTTGGCCAATGCCAAAAAGCATCGTCCGGGTATAAAAACATTAAGAACTTCGCTCCGCTCCGTTCTAAATCTGCTTATTCCCGGAACTCGATTCCGCAATCGAATCATAATCAATGCAATCGTATATCCATCGCTGTATTCCCCAATACACTTATGTGGGAAGACGAATATAAAACAGCATATGAAATTGGACGCACAACGTGAGGATTTTCGCACATGCGATCTGGGATTCGAGCATTCGTGAAACACATCCTGCATGACACAAGCAACATCGCATAAACCGCCCCATTGGGCAGTGACCATTGTCACGAAGCGAGGACCATATCCCCAAGTCAAGACGAGCGCAGTAATTCGTCCGTGGCAAAACAAGCAGGATGGTCCCGGATCGCATGTTCGCACATCGGAAAGATCCAGCAGCCCCTCGACGGGGGATCAGCGGGATTGGACTGGGAAGGCACACGAGCATACCACCCAACGCAAGGCTTGGCATCGGCCTTTTCAAGATGTATAAGCAGAGTCCTCCACAGCTCGTCCCTAGATGTGCAATTGATGGTAGCGGCGAGCACTCCCACGTGATCGATGAAGTAAAGCACCCTTCGATCGTCGAGGAGTCGACCCCAGACGAATCTCGCGAGCACCAAAGCATACAACTCAACAAGCCCTATCAAGTGCTTCTTGCCGCTCTCGGCCCATAGGTCGACCAGGGAGTCACTCAGCGTGACCCCGAAGTATCGGACCTTTACAGCCCCATTCCAAGAAGCATAAAGTATTCCCCCAACGGTGCAGAGCGATCGAGCAGCACCAGGCTCGCATGCGCCATCAGTGTAAACAACAAGTGAGGGTCCAGAGCTTCCAACCTGTATGCGCCTGGGCTCGCCAGCATCCATGCGCATCTGCAAGACAGCAAAGGCCTCGCGATCAGTAGGAGAAAGTCGATGAACTCCAGAGCCTCGCGAGAGCTTCCTAAGCGTGCTCAAAGCCAGTTTGCCCCTGCGGCCCATGATTTGGGAATCGGCATACTGAATCCTTCCAAACAAGCTGTCGACTTCTCTGACCACCACCTGGCCATCCGATAGGACTTTAGCGACCGACTCGGAAATTTCGCGAGCCCTGTCAGGCTTGTTGGCAACAGTGACGCAAGAAAAATCCTTAGCCCTAAGGTCCAAGCGAACCCCCAAGAGATCGGCCACCGAAGAAAAAGGCAACTCCTTGTCCTCCGAGCAGATCACGCCCAGGAGGCGCATGAGCTTGCGGATCGTCTTCTCGGTGTTGGCCGAAAGCATACTCACATCGAGCACTGGGTAGTCGTCATAATAGTTACAGGCCAGGCACTCCAGCTCAATAAGGATGCGGTGAATCAAGCGGGCAACGCGATTGAACTGCCCTACGCTCGCGAGCGAGCCGAAGGGTAGGGTATGTGAAATGAAACCGACGGCTTGCCCGTCGGAGGGCCGCCGGAGGCTGACCACACACCTCTTGCTGTCACACGGCCTTATAGCATACTGTTTGTAAGCAGACTTCAAATCCACGCACTTCAAGACTGGGCGCGCGGACTCAGGCCGCGTGCGCCACACGGTATGCAAAGGGCCGCTGATCACTTCACCAGAAGAAAGACGAAGGTTGACAAATCCTCGATCAACGATGGATTGCATGAGCCTCGATGTTATCCAGAGGAGTTCGTCCATCGCACGCAGGTCAATCTTTTCTGCCACCTCCCAGGACGAGTTGACACTGTTCTCGGACAAATCGTCAATGCACCTCAGCTTCCCTCGTTGGAAAATCGCGAACCTCCGTACAGGTATCCAGTGCGGACCCAAAATCTCAGTGAGCTCCTGGTAGCTATATGGGCCGCTCAGCCAGGATTTCTGATCCCTCTCAGCAAGAGTTTGGCTCCAAAGCTCGGCATCGGAATCCTCAGGTTTTGAAGATGAGATCTTGGCCCACAGGGCCGGTCGCAAGAATTTCGATCTTTGATCAAGCTCCTCCTCAGTGAACTCCGAAGGCTTAAAGGATGGTGCGAAAACCCCCGTGACAGGCGCGGATCCCACTATGCCGAACCCTTCCTTAAGGTCCTTAAAAAGATCTTCGTCTGGCCAGTCAAGGGATTTGGCGATACGATCCAGCAACAGCAACTTCTTGCCAGAAAGGACCGCACCAACTCTAGGATCAAGCGAAGCATGAAGAGCTCTCTCAGGCTCGGCCAGTTCATCGGCCCACGCAGACCACTTGGTAAGTAGGTCAAGCCGGCGTCGCATGACGGGCAAGGGACCGTCGATAAGCAGCCGCCCCAAATAATTCCTGATGAGACCATCAGGCACGTGTGCAAAAGCGTCGAACGGATGCTCGAGGCGCAAGCTGGCAGCAACGAACTCATCAGGAGTCCGAAACACGCCAAACGTGGCGGTGGCAGGGGTACTCGGCAAAGGGGAGAGGGACTTAGGCTTAAGAGAACCACCCCCAAGAAAAGCGAGCCTAAGGAGCCTAGCACCCTTGGGAACGGACTGCAAAGCGGTTTGCAGGCACTTTTTGTCATCCAGCCGAAGCTGGGAGCAATCAGCGACGTGCACGCTGACCATGTATTTGAACTCGGGCATAATCGGCTGCATTTTTGTGAGTTTAGCTTGTTTGTGCACGGCAGGATTAGCATCTGGCAACCCCGATTGGGGGGAAACAAGTAAATCCTCACCAGCCGCCTGCAAGCGCAGATTTTCGGCAAGGTTCTCCGCATACACCTTGCCGAGAACAAAGGCCTTGTCGGGGCAAGAGCAAGAGCAAGCACGCAAATCAGAACAGGCCAGAACAGTGGAGGCCACGCGAACAGCCTTGCAACCGAGGCCGAGTGAGCATCCAGGCCCAACGCACGAAGGCAAAGAGTCACTGAACGGCGATCGTTGCCAAGCCGAGTTATCGGATGGGCCGCAAGCGGTGAGCCCAATCTGTAGCTGTAGCACGTGAGCGACAAAAGATGTCACATGATCAAGCTCTGCAGAATTAAGGGTCTGATCAAGACACATGTGGACATGATAGACCCGGTGAGCCATAACAAGGCGCCGCAAGTATTGCCAAGTGGATTGTCGTTCGGGCCTGAGCTGCAACACCTTATGCTTGACAGGGCCCGCAGACTGGGACCCATAACAGAAAGTTTTAAACCCAATCTCGGCACACGCATGGCCCACGGCACCTCGGCCACAGAAGAGGTCGAGGACAACAAGCCGGGAAGGCTTCAGCACTTTCAGGGGCTCATGAGCGACAGAGCTCCTGATGTCAGGTAGAGGGCCCACTGGAGACGCGGGCATCACAGCATCAGCGCTGGGAAGGGCGAAACCACAGAACTGGAGCTGAGTCAACACCTCAGAGTCGGAATCGCAAACGCCCTTGGTGCTGAAAGCTATGAGCATAACCCGACGACCCTGAAAAGGCGCCACGGCGTGGCAGCCGTCACGAGCATTGAAAGCCTAGGCACCCCGACTGAAGTCGAGATCGCAATCACCGGCTCGCAGTGAGCCACCTGAAAAGTGAGTCAGAGGTATCAAGAGATTCAAAGTCGGGCCGTTGTTGGGATCAGTGTGAGGTTGACTTTCAACCGAGTCAGAGATCAGCAGACTTGAAAATTTGTGCGTCGGAAGGACATGCAGGACGCAAGCACACAAGTATCGGCAGACATTGGGATAAATTCGGGTGAAATGCCGCAAACCTTTGATAGGACCGTGAGAATACGACCCCACCGCGAAGACTGAGCCTTTGGCTTGAGAAAGTCGTGTGATATCAGCCTTTGGCAGAAGGTCAAAGAGAGAAAGCACACTAGCTGCATCGAACAAGTGTTTGCGGTGCAAATCGGAGGCAAGGGCTTCACTTCAGGGCCTCCAAGTCGAGGCGCCTTGCCCGGCGACTCACGGTCGCTGTCATTGGATTTCCTTTTAGGAGGATCCGCGGTGGCACAATCACGCGCGCCAACAGAGGGTTCACCGCCCACGGGCGAACCGGCATCATGCATTCTCTCATTGAGTGAAGCACAAGCAGCAACCAATGTTGCAGCAGGCCCCACAGGGCAAGGCATTGCATGGTCCAGCTCATTAGCCGAACTCAGGGATTGAGACTCCAATGAGTCAAGCTGAGGACATTCCCAGCCATCTGCAGTCGCATCGACCACACTCGATAGTCACTCCTTCTTGGGGCAGTTAGCAGCAGTATGGCCGCTCTGACGACATCGGGCACATATATGTATCCCTTTCTCACATCTGCCGCTTTTGACAACCCGGCTGCATCCATTGATGTTGTGATCGAAGCATATGGGTTCGCCAGCATTTGTCGAACTGTAGCAGCCCACAAGCGGCTTAGGCAGCACGCCCTTCCCCTTGGCACGTCCTTTACCCGCTTTGCCTCGGCCTTTACCCTCTCGAGTGTATGGGCTCGGCCTCTCGCGAGAGACCCACGGACCCGGAGGCACATCAGAAGAGGAGGAGGCATTTCCAGGCAAGGATTGCAATAGGACTGCCACATCACTCAGATCCATCACCAACGGAATCAGGCCATCCAAGGGGCGGCCGGCTGATGTGGCCTGGATTCCTGCACGACAGCGGTCCTGCAACTCCGAGAAAAGCTTCTGATCGGCCCGCAAGAGCTGCTTGAAGCTGGGCCGGACATGACCTGCTGGCACCTCCTGCATCCGCGCCCTAAGCAACTTCTGATGCCAGACATCGATGACAGCATAATCAACAACATTGGCTTGGTCCAGGGCAAGGGCTCTGCGCTGTAAAGCCTGAAGAAGATGCACCTCGGAGTCGACCTGACACTTGTCATCTGGGGCCTTCGACTCAAGCTTCAAGGTCTTGCCCTGAGCATCGAGTGTAAATCGAGTGTCCTTTTTGGCATCGCCTTGAACCTCGGCAAGCCGACTAGTGCACTTCTCCCAGGCCACGTAGCGCAAAGTGTTCGACTCATATATATTCACGCAGAGATCAACCAAGGCCTGACTTGGTTCAGTCTCGCCTTTTATGTTGATCCCGGTCAACTTCTTCACCTGTCGCGTGTAGCGCTCCTCACGCTCAGGCGCGCTGAGAGAATGACTGGGAGCGTCTTCAGTGCGCTCAATGGCCTGCCTAAACTCGGTGGTGACTATGGCGTAAGCCTGCTGGAAAAGAGCCCTGAAGCACGCCTGAGCAGCTAAGTCAGCACTGGTGTCCCTTTTGACTAGAGCATCCAAAGCCGCAATCAAAGGCTTCTCATCGGCTTGTCCCGGAGTGAAGGAGCTGACAAATGCCAGCTGTTTCAAATTCTTCAGTCCAGCCAACACATTAGTCTGGTCAGCAGCCGACAGGCCCGAGGTCCTGACCTTGTCGATGAAGACAGCTTCGGACTCTGAGTACGAGGCCGCCATGGCACGACCCAAGCACTCAGCTACAGGTCTTAACAAAGAAGAGCATGGATCGTCTCAGGTGCACGGTTGCAAATCGCACAGCATCAAGACAGAAGCTCCTCACATACCATGCAAGCCGGAAGCATTCACCGGTAGCACAACCGCTCAAGTTGCAATGACCTCTCGCCGATCTCGCGTGAAACTCAAGGCCCGTCCTGGTCAGGACAGCATTGCCTGCAAAGGGGAAACAAAACATTAGGCACAGCCGTCTGGATGTAGCTAGTTGACGGCTTGCGGCCGCAGACAAAGCGATCACCTTCATCACTGCTGGCCATCAAATGAATGACCCTCATAGTCTTATGCTTGAAGACGGGACCCTCGCCGATCAGATCACGAAGACCCGGCCGAGGCTCCCAGGAAGCCAGAGCATCACAGGCCTTCTCGACCTCATCGTGATCCGGAGCCTCCTCGTCTTCACTTCCACTGGAAGAACTGTCAAGCTCTTCTTGCTCCGGAGCATTGGGATCGAAGCCTGCATCTTCTCGACCCTTGCGACTGGGAAAATATCCCGAGCGCGTGCTGTCAGGCCGGAAGTGACCCAACGCCACAGCACTCACAACGGATCCAAGCTGCCGCAATGGGCCGCTCAGCGTGTCCCTGGCATATACCAACTCCGTTCCACAGTGAGTGCTGCGGTAGTCCAAAATGGCCCTCACGCCTTGTTCAGTTCCATATTTAGCAAGCGTTGAGGTCCTCTTTAAGCTGTGCGTTCCAAGCTTTCTGATGTCAGCGGAATCACCGAGCTCGCGCCTCAAAAGTTCCCGCAAAATCCTCGCAGCATGCTCGGCCGAGATGGGCAGCAGACTGAACCCGCCGCCAGTGACAGGCGACGACAGCAACGGATAACCCTCTCGAAGGGTCACCCCCTGTTCCTTCATGAGCTTGTACCATGCAGTTCCCCAAGACTCAGTCCATTAATAGGAGCAACCATTGGGAGGAATCTCGTTTTTCTTTCCAGAGTATACGACGTCTTGGACCTCGTAACAGAGGCCTCCAGGAACCCATAAGGCCCGTCGTCGCTCTCGGTGACATCAAGCATGAGGTTAGCCGAGGCTTGGGCATCGGAGAACCGGGCCCGAGCGTACAAAGTATAGCAGAAAAACCCAGCACAATGTCTGTCGAAGCCGCTGTATTCTTCAATGGTTCCTCCAATCACTATCTTCTCAAGAGTCCTCACGCGCAGCGCTGTAAGCGCCGGCTTCTGGACAGCTTTCCTTTTTTCAAGGTACCTGGTTTTGGCTACCCCTTGTATCCTGCCACTGATGGTCACATGCAGATCGAGGCCCAAGACATGCACAGCGAAATTCAGAGACTCAAGGAAGCTCCTTCCAAAGGTTGCCGCCGCCGTCCGACAATACTGATCCATGAATACATATAAGACGCTCTCAGTCAAAGGAAAAGCATCAAGACCAGCAGATTTGGTAAACGCACTGGCATCGCCACTGACTCCCCTGTAGCAATCGAAGTGCTCGCCGTGAGACATAAGAAGAGCCTCCCATTTTGCCACTGCAGCCCGCCTGTTATCAGTCAATTTCTCCTCCCAACTAGGCCCCTTCGTCGCCGGCAGCTTGCCCAATACTTTAACAGCCACAGAAGTTGTAACAGCTCCTGCAGGAGACGAACTTGGGGCAGGCAGCACTTGCGCAGCTACCTGAGGCCTGCCGACACTCGGGAAGGGAGACGAGAAAGCTGATCGAGGCGCCAGGATGTCGCCCCTCTCCCAGGGCTGCTTCTCAGATGTAGTGGTAGAAACACGGACAGCATAAATCAAGTGATCATCCAAAGCACTGCTGTCCCTCTTCCTTCTCAGGTGACCAGAAAGGTCAGCATCCATGGACCGGGCCCTCTGAGAGGAAACGTCAAAGTTTCGTTTCAAGGGCCCGTTAGAACCTGTTCAAAGTAGCACCCCCAGGCCATGTCAAATTTGCCCATTCAAGGAGGCGCTCCCTCCCACCCACCCTTGATCAAGAATTGCAAGTCACAACATCGTTATGCCAAGAGCATAAGAGTCATCAAAGGAACTTGCAAAAGAATGGTTCAAAACAAGTGATTGAAAAACGGGATTGCGAAATCAAGGTTTTGGCCAATGCCAAAAAGCATCGTCCGGGTATAAAACATTAAGAACTTCGCTCCGCTCCGTTCTAAATCTGCTTCCCATATATATATATATATATATATATATATATATATATATATTGACGTGTGCATATGGCAGGAAGCATGCATGTGCAGGTTGCGAGCAAGGGTTCGTGTCGATCGCGATCGTTGGCTCTAGTTTTTTTTGTTGCCCTGCCTGCCCATTGCAATGGCTGATGTGGAAATGGAAGACGTCACGGACAACGAATGCGGGTGGACCGAATGGTCCGACTGGACTGGAACGACGGGACCGACTGGAACGACGGGACACCCGAAGCTAGCAAGTGGATCGACTGGAACGACGGGAGGGCCCAAGCTAGCAAGCAGTGGCAGGGGTACAGCGACTGGAGATCCCAACCTAGCCTGCAGTGGCCAGGGTACACAAGAGGTCAAGTCCAGACATGGTTCGCGAAGCGAGCTCGCAGCTAGGTAGCATGTTTAGTTTTTGTTTTAATCCATTGTTTTCTAGGTATAGCTGGTACCATGTATAGTTTTTTTTTTAAATTGTGTTTTGAGCTAGGAAAGTATAGATTCGTATAAGTGCAGGCTGGCACTTGCGATTGCAGAAGAAGACGGCGAAGTTTCGGCCGCAGCGATGCATGGTAACGAAGTTTCGCCCCCGTAGTCGACTGCCGTAATTCATGCATGCATAGCAATTGTTAATTTTACCTGGAATAGCTAGGTCGGATTCCTGCAGGCGAGACTGCCTGCATGTGCCTTGGTCGAGTCGTGGCAGCTCAAATGCAGTTTGCGTGTGCGAGGGATCTGTGCCTTTCTCGCGAGAGGCATGCAGCTTGCATGTGCAGTGAAGGAAAAGGGCATATGCTCCTGCAGGTGTCGTAGCTGGGTTCGTAGGCCATGACCTCCACGGGCGAGAAGGTCTATCATGCCATGTGCAACACCCTGGATCCCATGTTTCTCAAGCAGGTCATGGATCAGAATCCTGACATGGAGCAGCGGGGCCTCTTCGGTTGGCCAGGCATGCAGATGGACGGCGTCTGCGAACTTCACAAAGAATTCTTGAAACAATTGTTCAAGATATCCAAACAAATCGTTCCTGCCGATCTCAAGCATGCTTTGGTGAGGCTCGACAATTTTCATGCAAATAGACTCCTTCGGTCAGCTCCAAACGGGCGGCGAACGCTTCGGCAAGAGGCCCAAGGAATCACCAACATGATGAGCCATGTAAACCGCAAGAGAAGAAACAGCGTGGACTGTTCAAGACTTCCTGCATGGATGGAGGAATTGGTCCAGCAAAGCTCAGGTTCACCGTCGAGGCCGGAACCGTCCACAGCACCGGCTCTGTGCAAGAAGGCGTCCATGAAGGTGATCTCCGACAAGGGCGACTTGAGCAAGGAATCCATCTTGGCAGCTTTTGGTTTTGATGAATCCCAGATCGTCGCGATCGACGGGGACAACATCGTAGAGGTTTCGAGCGAGGATGGCCAGCCTGGCAAAGGAGCAACCTGCTCCTCGAATCCTACTGCAGGAGCAGCAAGCTCTTCGAAGCCTTGGACTGATTTCTCGGCATGGAAGGCAGTCCGGATGCAGGCCGACGGCACCTTGGAGGAGCACGTGGACCTGTTTCAAAAGGACTCGGAGCCCTTCTACTTCGCGGCCTTCGCAGACGGCACGGAGTACCTCACGGAGCTCCCTGTTGGCACCAAGGATCCGCCCCCGGTCAATAAGAAGCCCAAGGCCAAGGCTAAGCCTAAGAAGGCTGCCATGAAGAAGCCCGCGTCGAAAAATCAGTCTCCGAAGAAGAAGCCAGCCTCGAAAGTTCAACCCGAAGCGGAGGCCCCAGATCCGCTTGCAGATGTGGAAGCGAAGACTTCGGCAGAGGTCGAGATCGATGAGCCGAAGGCCAAATCGAAGCCCAAGGCCGTTGCAAAGAAAAAGTCCGAGAAAAAGTCAGAGAAGCCGAGTCTGAGCTGCACGGTGAACTCGAAGTGGAGCATCATGTACTACAAGTTTCCAAAGAATGCCTACGGCATCCGTGAGAAGGGCAAGTCCCAGTTGTTTCAAATACTTTGCCGTGATAAAGATCCGTTGACAGTGAGGTCGCAGATCGTGCACCTGGGTACCCCCAAGCTCGAATCGGGCACAGACCCGACCGAGGTCAAGGAACTTTTGTTGAAGTCTGTGCACAAAGCTTAAGCTGCATGCGTGGGTGTTTGGAGAGCGATTTCCAAACGGAGATGCCTTGGGAGTTGCATCTGTAGCCTATGCTAGCTGTTTTAAGCGGCCAGATTTTTGTCTGGAGTGTGCAATCGTCGGACGATCCGGGCCTCCAAAAGTTGCTGCCAGAGTGCCCAGCCATGCTATTTTTGCGATCTAGGCTGTCATGCATGATTGAGGTGAAGAGGAGCTGCAGTGTGCATATTTATCGAAGCCTAATATATATATATATATATATATATGCATGTTTCTACATTTTACTTATAATTTATATATATATATATATGCTTAAACCCCAAACCCAAACCCCTGAATCTACTCGGCCAGGTACTATCGTCGGTGGCTTCGAGGATCCCGGACAGGTGCGTTTGCGTGGGCGGCTTCCGTTGCAGAGTATATCTAAGAGACCAGGTTAAATGTGTGCACGGGAAATGCATGTGTGTGTACACATGCACATGTATACATACATGCATGCATGCATGCTTGCGGCCCAGGTTCTGGATCCGGCTCCGATGCTTCTGCAGTGCAGGGTTTAGGGTTTTAGGGTTCAGGGTTTAGGGGTTTAGGGGTTTAGGGTTTAGGGGTTTAGGGTTTAGGGTTTAATAGGGGTTTAGGATTTAGGGGTTTAGGGGTTAAGTTAAATTTAGGGTTTAGGGATTAGGGTTTAGGGGTTTAGGGTTTTAGGGTTTAGGGTTTAGGATTTAAGGGTTATAAAACAAAAGCATAATTTTGCGATAATCCTCGACCCCGAGGCGTGAGATCCTCATCGCTCGGCTTTGGGATGATGTGCTTCCGAGGGTTCTTTTTTAATTATTGTGGTGTATAATCTTAAGGAGCTCAGAAGCTCCTAATGTATACGATCGTAGCATGCATGCATGATGTAAAGACCGAAACCCCGACTTAGAGCTCTGCGTGCAGGAGCTTCGTGCTCCTGAATTATAGAGCTATAATATATATGCTCCATATATGTGCCCAGGCCGCTGCCGGGTTGGCATCGGTGCAGATCTGCACTGCAAGGACGATCGAGCTGCATGTCTGATGTGCAAACACGTGCAGAGGTCGTTGCATGCGTGGCATTATATCTAGAATGAAGGTGCATGCATGTCGTACGATTGCAAGCACTTGGCCCGAGACGACCAAAGCTATTAGCCCTCCCTTCGAACCAACATCCTCGGATCCATGGGGAACGACCTTGGTAAGGCATTGCAAGGAGCCGCTGATGCCGTCAACAGCAGCTCAGGACAGCAAGGCCAGCAAGGCCAATTGCCGTTCCCGAATGCATGGCCGATCGGCGTGAACCCTGCATTCCCGCCCCCAGCACCAGCACCACCCCAGCAGCAGTGGGATCCAAATGCCCAGTGGTCCACTACGAAGGGCCAGACAAACTGGGATCCCAATGCCCAGAACAAGAAGCAATCATGGGCGAAGAAAACGTGGGATGACAAGTCATGGCAGGGCTACAAGAAGGGCGGCTCCAATGAGGGCGGGTCCAATGATCACGGCTCGGGATCTGGTGGATCTGGCGGCAACAGCGAGTACCTGCGAGCATGTAAGGCCTGCGGTCGAGCAGGTTATCTTCGGAATGGCCTATGCCTGAACGAAGAATGCGTGGCTGGGACAGCAAGCAGTATAGAGGCTACGACTCTATATATATAGGAGCTAGTAACTTAAGCTCCTGAAATTAACATTTAAGGCCAAAATCACCAAACCCCCAAACCCTAAACCCCGAACCCTAAAATACATGAACCCTGGGATCCGAGGTGTAATCTTTCCTAGACGAAAAACAGAAAGCCTGCCACAATACAATTCCAGTCAGCTAGCATGTATATTTATTGGAATGAATTAAAATCATGCACCTATAGACGGACCCTGACATATATAGTTTTACCGACAATATTATATATATATATATATATATATATATATATATATATATATATACATATATATATTTCGTTGTCTTTATCAATCTACTCAATATCTTTCTGTCGTTCGAAGCATTAATATACATAGCACCGAACCATTAAAATTATCCCAAAGTCTCGCGAACTTAGGCCTTGAGCATCTGGGGGCAGGAGACGGCAAGTGTCGGAAAGCGGCTCCATGCATGGGGCAACAAGGAGAGCGTGGAGGATCTTGGAAAAAAGGTGCATGGTGCCAGGACGAGACCTACCACCAGGGGAACCAAAGGCCAGAGGCACCCCTCGTGGTGGATGCAGAAATCGCAGGAAGAACAACGGATGATCAAAATCGAACAGTTCGAGAAGAAGAGGAAGGAGATGCCCGGCGTGATAGATCTGCTGGCGGAGGAGGAGGAGGAAGAGACGGAGGAGGAGCCGCCACTCGACAATGGCCACCCGGATAAAAAGCGTCGCTTCGAGGATGAGGATCATAAGGACAATGATGGTTCCGGCGATGGCGATGCTAAGCTGGGGCCCGTACCCCTGCCTGCGGGCAGTTGGGTGCTGTAGATCATGTTTCAGTGTTCGATCAGGATGATCCGAGCAGGCAGTTTCAAGAAAAGAACCGGTGCAGATTTGCACTGCGAGTGCATGGGATGTCCTTGCACTAGTGCATGTTTGCACTGCTTAAGATCGTGGTCTGCAAAACTTCAAGAACCCTGTGTTCAGGAGCCGTCGGCATGGACCCAGAGAGGCCGGATATGTTTTGGGCTGGGTGTCCGGGCTAAGGGCCTGGAGCAGGGTTTCTTACATTTCAGCATGCAGTGCATGTGTTCTCTTGCACTGATCGATGGACATGTGCAGTTCTCTGCAGTTGCTCCTGTGTTGTGTGTGGCCCTCTGTGCACAGCTCCACTTCTATTCGCTGGCCCAGGGTCAGCGACTTTCGCCTGGCCGGACGAATGCTTGCCAGGGCCCAGCAGCTTTATAAATCGGTGTCTTCAGGCTTTGGGAGTTGAGGGTTCAGGGGTTTAGGGTTTAAGGTCGGGCTTTGTATTAAGATGATATATGATCTTCGGGTGTCAGGGCTGCATGATATTCCTATGTATAATTATATATATATATATATATATATATATATATGTATACATATATATATATATGTATATAGGTCATATATATATATATATATATATATATATAAATATAATCCATATATATATATATGTATATATGGGATATATAGCTAGCAGCTTGGCGAGCGGGTTTCTTTCATCGGGCACAGGGCTTTCATTCGGGTTCTAAATGTTTTCCAGCTTAAAGGAGCCCATGGCTCCTGCCATGACGAAGCCACCAAAGCTTAAAGCACGAATCACGATGCCACCGTAAATCCCCGAACACCACAAACACCGAAACCCTAAACCCCGAAACCCCTAAACCCTAAACCCACGAGCCACCAGAGCTTAAGACCAGAAACCATGCATAACGATTGAGATCGATCACCGGGTCAGTAGAAACCCCAAGCGGCAACAGCACAGGTTAAATCGAGGTTAAATTTAACCTCGATTTAACCTCCATTTAACTTTCAATCAAGAGCTGTTACAAAGTTAAGTTAACGATTTAACTTAAGTTAAACTGAGGTTAAATTTAACCTCCATTTAACCTCGCATCTGTTTCTTGATGTGTTTCAATAATTCATTATCAGCCCGCACAACAGTGGCAACAGACCAGAAACCGTTGCAATTGTTGGCGACCAATCCTATATACGTACCTTGGAAACACGAGCACCCAGAATACACCAGCATCCGAAACCACAGCAGAAAACCATACTTAGCCCCGGCCCTTGCCTATAGGAGCCTGTGGCTCCTTACATGCACAAGCTGCCCATTAAGTCACCATCCCAGGTGCAACGTGCCCGAGTTCTGCTGGCCTGCCTGCTTGTTTTTTGCAGTGGCTGTTCTGGAATGCAGCGAAAGCAGGAAGTGCGTAAGCTTTCAATATATCAAGATCTAGGCTCGAACATTATTTCTCGATCTTTGCCCCGTTGTAGCAGCACCCATGGCTCCCAAGAAGAAGGCCGGCAAGCAAGCCACCGATCCAGCAGCAGATAAGAAAAAAGCTACCAGCAACATGCTGGGACAGTGCAAGCTGGCCAGGCAGAAGCTAGAGAGTGCTAAGGCCCAAGGCGACAAGGGGGACCCCAGCCTCGTAGAGGACCTTGAGAGGAAGGTAGCATTCCTAGCGGAATACGAGGCTCTGCCTCTCCGTGACAAGAAAAAGGATGCAATGCTGCAAAGCTGGTCCCAGGATAAGAGCCTAAAGTCCTGGGCCGAGATGCACTGCAACTATACCCAAGACAAGGGCACCGAGTCCCGGGATCGCTCGAACTACGGCACCAAGCAACTTCGGAAACATATGCGTGGAGCTTTGGGTGTCGGGGTTGGGTTGGGTAATAGGAGCTGACAGCTACCTTGGCAACGGAGGTTTTCAGTGAAGCTATATATCAGGCTTGAGGCTCAAGGTTTTCATTGGGATTGTGTTACCCAGTCTTGAGGAGCCCAGGGCTCCTGAAAGACCAAACCCCGAAACCTACTAAACCCTAGAGCCCCACAAATTTCCTAGAGCCCCGTAAACTGCCGTAAACCTCTTGACTTAAGAAGGATCGACAACCCCCGAGGAAGGCTAGAAATGATTATGGATTGCTAGTTCACAAACCATCTATAGATATATATTTATTTTTGGGCATTCGGATCATTAGTGTCTAGCCTCAAGGAGCCCAGGGCTCCTGAAAGACGAGACCCCAAACCCTAAAGCCCGAAGCCCCCTAAGACCGTGAACCTCCAAACCCGGAAAGCTTAAACCCCCAAACCCCGAAACCCCTTCACCCCAAACCCCGAAAAGTATAGATTGTGGATCTGTTATATATATATATATATATATATATATATATATATGTATGTGTGTGTGTGTTTACACTTGCTTGCAAAGGTCCGAAGTTGCGGCTATGCTGAAGCTGGACGTGAAGGACCCAGCTCAAAAGCGTATCCTCGACGAGACCTTGAAGGACATGGATTCCGAC